TGCACCGCTCAATTACATCCAATATTCCCAATAACTTAATAGAAAGGGGAACTGACATCATCTGCTTCTCGTCAGCTCCTCTGCCGAAAGGCAGAGGACTGGACCTGTACGAACGCTGGCTAAAGTTATCAATCAATTATCAATCACCGTGCGCCAGTTAATGCTGACATTATATCAGCCGGGAGGATTTAGCCACTCCTTTAACAACTGACATTATTTCTCTTTGTGAGTAGGTCCTTGTGAGAAAAAAAAACTGAGGGGTGACAAGTGAGAATGAGTATATATATATATTCATTCATGTACTATATATATATATATATATATAATCCATATATCCTGACATGATAAAGCAAAAGGTTAAACGTATATCAGGCGAAAGTGACTCATGCAGCAAGACACCAACTTAAAATACACGATGTTCTTGTTGATTATTGGCTAAAGATGTTACATAAAGCCAACAAACTTATTATTGGAGGAAGTTCAGTTTAATGAGCAGTTCATGTAACGAAGCAAATGATCAGCTCATATATTTATTTATTTATTTATTTATTTATTTATTTATTTATTTATTTATTTATTTATTTATTTATTTATTTATTCATTTTTATTTTATTTATTTATTTATTTATTTATTTATTTATTTATATACATCAACAAAGAAGCTATCCTTGTGCTGTAAAACCCTTCATGAATGGTCTAAAGAGTATGGAAACTGCATAAAACTTTGCTTAGCTGTTGCAATACAAACAGATACTTTGTTCCTTCTAATTAAGCTTACGTGGCGTTTAGCCGCCCTTTTCATGTTTTCACAGAGCGCCATCTGCACCAACATTAACTTCAAACCCAGGACTTTAAGTAAACCAGTTCAGCCGGTGTCCCCTTCCATTTTGACATTTGTTCAAATTAAGAATTACTGCGTTTCTCTTCTTTGGAGGAGACTGAATTTTATTGTAGACACTATCATTTTGATATATAGACATCTTGGGAGAAATGCCCCAAAACGTACAGCTAAAAGCCCTTGCAGGTCGGTGTCCTGTGATTTCTATTCACATGGCAAAATCAAAATCCTACAGAAACACACAAAGACAAACAAAACGAAACAAACAAAAAAAAAACCACTGGTGGTGCAGTTTCTATGTGGCATCATTTGTGTGACAGATGAGCCTGCTGGAGCCCCGCGGCCCCGGGGCGCCAGACTACGGTGGGATCCTCCATCTTCCCTGATTGGGCTCAGGCTAATTAAGCCGGGGCCTTCCTTCCTCCCCCCCTCCCCCCACTGTCCTGTCACATGATCCATATCAAAGGTAGACGACGTCTGTACGTGGTTGCGTGTTTCTGTTTGTCTGGATTTAGAGCAGAAAGGCGAACATATTTCTGTCTGTGTGTGGGTTTAACAGAATGACAGGGGCATAAATGTGAGCAGATATACGGCATATTTAAGCCTTAGGGCCTATTTAGAGTGAAATATAGCTTAAATTAGACCGTGATTGCTCTCAAAGTGACTTGACTGAGAGCTAAACGTTGCAAATTCCTCACGAGGGACGATTCTACTGAAAGTCTAAGAGAAAACAGGTGACGATAAAAATGAAAAAAAAGACATAACACCTATAAAACATTTGATAAAATCGCGCAGATATTCACTCATTCTCACTGTCGGTGCTTTCACCGAGGCGTCTCACCCACGCCTACGCTCACCATCCTAAGAATCATTAAAGTCGTGCAGCTCAATTGGCAGACTGAAGCACTGTTTGGAGAAAGGCTTCAATCAAACGGACGAACGCAATCAACGGCAAAACGTAAACCGGCACAAGAGATGACAATAATTAGAGATAATCAATAGATTAGGACTAGAAAGCAAAATAAATAAGAGCAGAAGGTGCCACTTAAAAGCCACACTTTGAGGGAGAAGTTTAAGCGAGACTCTAGCGGTGATAAAACTCACAGTGGACCGTGAAGAGCGGCGGAAAAAATGTCAACAGGACTTTAAAATGAATGTGGAGGCGTAAAATAAAGCTGCACAATTGTGCGGCGTTATTTTACATTATTTTCCGTACAGTATATGTTACAGCCCGTGAACACCATATCCTCATCCTTCCTCAGTTTAATGAGCTTATCCGGAGTGTGAACTGAATGGATTTTTTTTTTTTTTTGGAGTGGCTGCAAGAAAACAAACCAACGTAAGGTTGAAAATGGACGTGTTTTGTTCGTTTTTTTTATTTTAATTTTTTTTATTCCTGCTTCTGTGCGAGGGGGAAAAGAAACTGCTCGGATGAACGAGAGACAAAGCCAGGTTTGCACAGTTTCTATGGCAACAACTGCATGCCAATCAGCCCTTTTTTTTTTTTGTGCAGAATACTGTGCTGTCATCTCTGACAAGCGTGAACACACACACACACTCGCGCACGCACGCACGTATAGACAAACGACACGCAAAGTCTCTGTGATAAACAGACAATAGCAATCACAGCACTGAAAAAAAAAATAGCAATTATCCTTGATGAAACAAATATCTCTCCAGCTTGCCTTATAGATGGTGGGAGTCTTTTGACACGGCTGAAGTTTGCCAGGGAGAACAGATGATACCTGGAGGCCTTAATGGCTCAAAAGAGGCTTTTTCAGTTGAGGGAATCAAGTGGTTTTGAGCTTGGAGACAAGTAAAGTGACCATTGGGTCAAACAGGCTATGGGAAGTTGATGGTGGGAGCTTAAGACTTGCCAAAGGCTGCCACTTTAACAGGTGTACGGCTTCAGGACAACAGACAAAAAGCCACGCACAAATTTTCTAATTTAAGTTGTTCGACAAATGCCATCTGGAGCGGCAAAAGGTTCGCAATCCTACCCGAGGACATTACAACATGTGGGGGAGACGGGAATTAAAACCAACAGTCAAACTGTGTTTAACGGCTAACAGCCCCTTAAAATGAAAAGAAAACTTCATTTAAACCAACACCGTTTATCAGGGCTAAAAAAAGGTCCTTAACCTGTGCAGAATGCTAATGATTTTCATTCAATGAGCATCTAAACCCTCTCAGTTTTGAGCTAAAAAGGACAGGCAGATCAGGGAAAATGAGAGTTATAAAGCTGTATGTCAGTGGCAAAAAGCTTATCTGTAACTTAGCTGTGAAATCTACAAGAAAAAGACTCACACTTGTAATTGAGAATGGAAAACAGAAGACAGCTCATTTATTCTGACGTTATCTTCTCTTTTCCCAATGTTTCCCTTAGCTTAACTTCTGATCTCCTGGCTAAAGTTCAAACTTTCTGTAAAAGTCCATTTATTGTCCAAAATGTACTTTAAAACACAACCTAACATGCGCTTTCTAGCTAAACAGTTCTATCCACTCTTTCAATTCCATTCAAATGATACTCCTTTAATCCCAAAGGGAAAATCATATTGCTTTATTATAAATGATTGTGAAAATAGCAGCAGTTTAAACCATTGTCGGTGTCATATATCATCGATAAATAATCGTCCCTCATTCATTTCCAATCTAACTTAATTTCTTTTTACATTTTATCTCCAATGACATGTCGCTAAGACGAGGATAAAGTTGCTGTCGAAGAGCAATAGAGACGTAAATGGAACGATTATAAATACTAAGGATGGTGGGGTTAACGTGGATCTTCTTCATCCAGCTAAATCAACTCACGTGGCAACTACTGACCAGCTCACCTCTTAATTTACAGTTGTTTATGGCTTCATCTGCAGGATTTTATTAGCTGGCGTGAGGGCTTGATGGGAGGGCTCTGCACCAGATGGAGAATAAATTAAGTCCCAATTGCAAAACCTTTACCATCTGGAGGACAGGGCAATAAAAAAACCAACTCGTTACATATTTTTTACTCGCGTTTTGTTGTTTTTACTCTTATATATATATATATACTGAAACCTATCTGTGTGTTGCTTTTCATTCCACACACTCGCAGATAAAAGCTGAATCATATCTTCATTGGTGAGTCAACATTTCACCTATGGGGGGGGGGGGGATGTTTGAATGCAAACAATTTCCATGAAATGATACGTCCTTATTGAAAAAAATCCTCATTGAAAAGCTGCACCGACACGGGGATGAACCGGTCGTCCTCAGGTAGCTATTTTCCCCGCACTGATTCAGAATTTATTTAAAGCCATTATTTATCTGCCAATTCTCAAAAGGGGGGCCTCCATTGTGGCACCACGTTGGGTTGCTAGGCAACCCGCGATGCAACTCATGCAAATCGTTTTATGCGAGGTTAAGGAGAGCGGGGTGACGTCACTGGAACACATGCAGAAGTATAAAGGACCGAGTTGTGTACAAAAAAGTGTTTGAAGAACATTTAAGCCATTTATATCCACAAGCACACACTCGCAGACTCCCACACTCTCTCTCTTTTACACCCTCTCTCTCTCCCGTTTGCGCGCACACACACTTTGGGTTTTCGGAGCAGGTGTGTGAGCTGGTTGAATGCCAGAGCTGGTAGTGGATCTCAAGTGGACGCAAGGCATCATCACCGCAAGCTGGGGGTGTCTGTCTAATCCAACTGTGTGCGCTAAAAAAAACCGCCCGAGGCACAAGAGGTAACAAAGGCACAAAGGAAACGCCGTAACATTTGACATCGGACTAACAATGATTTATCACAACACCTGCAGCAAGAGGACTTCTCACAAAACCGAATGAAAAGTTTCAAAAAAGCTAATTGTGAGGGTGGTAAATACCACCTAATGACTACCTAATCCTAAAGAATACGTCTCCCCTCTAAACAATATGCTATTAGAAAGAGAAAGACTTTTTTTCTTTTGTTGTTTTTGGGGTTTCTTTAGGATGTCACGTAAAAAAGGGTTGCGTTGAAAGTCAAGAACTCAGATTCATTAACAGACAACTCAAATTCCTGTTTACATACAGAAAAAAATGTAGGTGCAAGTGCATCAGTGATGGTGCATCCATACAATCATAACCTTAAAAAAAAGAAAACTTTGCAAAATCGGTAGTCAACAAATGAGACGGGTGCACTTTGTTTTCTTCAGACCACGATAATGTCGGAGGAAAAGAAGGAACGTTTTTTCATGCCAAGAACCGCATCCAGTTCTTAACAGAAAAACATCATTAATATGAGAAGAAACTGACTGAGGTTCTAAAAACTTGGAAGCAAATGTCGACGATGGTCAACATCTAAAGGCCTAATTTGCAGATTTTGCCGTTGTTCTCCCATTCCGGTCAGACAAAAACCAGAAAAGGTCAATTGACTTTTCAAAATGAAAAGCATGAAGACGCAATAACAAAAAGCTAACTTGTAAATGAGAACAGGTGCAAATAAAAACAATGGCGCACACCTAGCACTGACAAAAAAAAAGGAACTCAGTGGAGCTAAGGTAATTTACACATTAAAACCAAGACCAAAGAAACCAAGAATTACTAAATTAAAATGCTAACATTCCACACAAACACGCCAACTCTAATGTTCTTTTATTTTGCTCTCTGAAGATAGGCTGCATTAATGAGAAAATATTAAACATTTTCAACCTCTAATGATAGAAAACATGAAACACAACCTAAAGTATGCTAAACCAATGTGAACTTAAACAGCAGTTCATCTAAATTTCCCCACAGTTGGATCAATAAAGAACTGTAATCTGATTAAAAAATGTCTAAAAATCGGTGTCCACGCTGAAAGAAAGTGGTATATCCTGACTGTACGCTACATCTGTCAGGAAATAACTGAAAAAGATGGAGACGTTTGCCCTTTGACATGATTTGATTTTAATTTACGCTCCTTTTACTGTTAGATATGCCACATTTTATCTTATAGCTGAGTGACCGAGCACAGACTTGGAGATGTCAAACAATCTCACTCTCCAAACGCGTGTGTGACTCAGAGTGAACAATGTAAATTCAATTCGATTCAATTCAATTTTATTTACATAGCGCCACATCACAACAGTTGTCTCACAGCGCTTTCCAAACAGAGAACCTACTCTGAAGTTAACTACAGAAACCCAACAAGTCCCATCCTTTTATCGTTATTTATGCCCTTTGCATTAAATTCCATCATCTCGTAGCTAACGTCGCAGCAAAGTAACATTGCTGTTTGTAATTGAAGTATTAAAAACCATTAAAAGATGTTTGTATTTATTAATGCCCGTCCCATGTTGCAAAAACCGTCAGCCATTAAAAGATGTTCGTATTTATTATGTTGCAGTAAAAAGTCACTGCTAAGAAAACTGGATGTGCTTTGTTATGTAGTTCTTGTTTTGTTTAAACTACAAAAGAAAAAAAAAAACGACAAAACTATATAGAAACCGTCTGCCAAAGTCTACTCGAGCAAATACACACACCACTGTCTCATTTTCTTATATCCTCCTGAGACCCTAGCTTTTATTTATTTGGCATGCATTATAGCTTTTTTTTTTTAAAGATATATGGGATTAGTAAGACCTAATAAGTTTAATAACTAGACTTTGTCATGGTACAGGTAGTTGTTCTTCATTTACGCCCAGTGGGTTTATCTTTACATTTAAAATGTTTGTTTACATATTTAATGAAATGTTTTTACAATTTTGTTCTGACAGTCCCAATGACTTATTTACTTTTTTTTTTTTATTACACAATAAGAACATGATTGGATGAAAATGTATAAAACCATTTTACTTTAGATTTCAAACAGTGTCTGATAGCATCTGCTATGAGGCCAAGAGGTCAAAGCTGAAAGAAAAAAAGAAGTATCATGGTAAAGAGAGACGGCCCAAAACTGTAAATTCTATTGTGAAAACTCTCCGGATAGCGCTGACCGCTCGGCTTTGACTGGACACTGACTCACGGCGTGTGGTCTCGGTCCAGTCTAGTGGATCCCGTGTGTGTTTGGACACACACTTGAGGGGATGAGTGGTCATGCCGTTGGCCGAATGGGCCCCTGACGTACGAGATGGCGAATCCCTAAACATAGACCCGGGGAGGATGTTTATCCTGGCTAACCGGGTGCAAACACACTCCATCGCGTGCTTAAACACAAACACACATCCGCCATTTCTAAAATAAGGACTCGGCCCGCTTCTATTTTCTTTCACTCGCTTGTTTACAAGTAAGGACAATGTGCAGTGAAAAATCAGACTTGTTTCTTATCTGTTTCTCTATGGTCATGCACAAAAAGACAACGGAACTACTACACTACTGAATCTATCATTTGCTTTTAGCCAATCGCACAACAACCAGATCCAAATTCAAACAATAATCTAAAATCAATAACTTTTCTAGTTCTCTGTGATGCTGGTGGCTAGTTGAAAAGACAGAAAAGCTGCATTTTTTTAAGGAAAAGGCCCTATTAATCAAACAGAAGTAACTTCTCATTCTAAACGTGCCACATATTAACCCTTTAAAGCCTGATCCAAGAATAAAACAAAACAGAAAATTACTTATTTGGCCTTTTAACAAAATATGTAAAAAGAAAAAACAGAAATACATTTTTAATATTAATGATTTATTACTATGCGATAAGTCAAGATTTTTTGTGTAGTCTTCTGCCCCCTGTTATCAGGTGTATCTGATAGTGCACAATAGGATTTTGAGCAAAGTTTTTACCATTAAATCACGAAAAAAGGTGTCAGACGCAAAACAGAAACTGTATGTATCAAATATGATACATTTGGCATTACTGAGTTAAACATGTTCAGTCTGACCATCTCTTTTTTCTGTAGGTGTAGGTAGTCTATAGAGTAGGATTTATCCATTATTTTATTTTTCTAAATCCTTTTTTAATGACACGTTCATTCCTAAGGGGTATGTAATTTTTCAGATGAGAGTTTGATCAACTCTAAGAATCAAAAATTGTCGTAGTCAAAGTGAAACAGGACATTTTTGCATCTAAAGCCCTGGGAGTGTTCTGACACTTAGACAATTAGTATCGTATTCATATTAAGGAGATGAATCAGAAACGACTGAGCTTGAGGAAGCTGGTTTTTAAGCCGGTTTTATTATGCAACAATTACCATACGCTTGCACTCATGCATCACGTTCATTGTCTTTTTCTGAGAAGGATATTTTGGTCTGGCGGAAACCTTTAACATTTATCCACATTTTAAAACACCTTCAGCTTCACTTAAAGCACAAAACTTGCTGTGTGCTTTTCACTGAATAAACTACAGACTTCTTTCTAGTATTTGGAGGTGTTTCATGTACTGAAAATGAAAGTGAAATTAAATGAAAAATGAAAATTTACACACAAGTTTGTAAAAATAAAACCATCTCTCGGGGAATTTAGAGAAAAGAAAAAGTGGACTGAAGTAATCCTTGTTTTTCTTGGACAGTTTTAATACTTTCTAAATTCAGTTCTGCTGTAGGAAAAAAAATAGCCCCTCTAACGGTTTAATCTCTATTCAGGAAAGATTAATAACACTTGAAATATGTCGGCGTGAATGTCTTAAATCAAACTCTTCCAGTTAGCTGGAAGCTGTATGACTTTCACAGCGGATGGCTTATTTTGGATTATGGCTACCAAAAGGTTTCCAAGCAAGCTGTGATAATAACTATGTTTGTCATTACTTCCTGCCACAGCAGAATGTAAAGGGAAAAACCACGTTATTATTCCAACTATCTCCATAAGAATAACACACATGCTATAGCCTTGAGCAAGCCGTTAATTTAGACATTCTAGCTCAGTGGGATTTCAGTTTGAACTTCAAACAGATGGAAACCAAAGAATATCTTCATGGAGAAATGTTTAAGTCCCATTTTTATGATAAATTTATGCCATATGAGCTACAGTGGGGGAAATAAGTATTTGACTCCTTGCTGATTTTGCAGGTTTGCCCACTTACAAAGAATGAAACGATCTATAACTTCAATCATATGTACATTCTAACAGTGAAAGGCAGAATCCCAAAGAAAATTCCAGAAAATCACATCATATGAATTTATAAAAATTGATAACCATCTGATGAGGAAAAATAAGCATTCTTCGTAAGTGGGCAAACCTGCAAAATCAGCAAGGGGTCAAATACTTATTTCCCTCACTGTATATGTAACATTGTAAGATTTATATCTTTTAAGCAACAGAAGCCATCTATGGGCCTTCCGATGCCATGGAGGCAACTTATTATTTATTACAAATTTCTCCACTGTGAGATCAATACCGCTTATCTTATCTTATCTTATCTTATCTTATCTTATCTTATCTTATCT